TTAATATGCATAACTAGACTCGCATCAAATCTTTATAAAGGTTATTTCTTAATTACATATATAAGATGTGGACGATAGTTGTAAGGTTCAAGTGAACCAGTATGTTACATTGTAACAAATTAAACTAAATTGATATGACATGTGAATATGGACCCACTGATTTATCAATGTTGCTATTTTTTTTAAAAAAAAAAATCCACCTCTTCTGCAGAAGCTGGTAAGAAGCTCACCAAATAAACTAACCCTAATCCGATAGAATATAGCACTTTTAAGATAACGAAAAAGAAAATAAAAAGCTCTTGTTTATCATTGCCCTATATATAGAAATGTGGTTAGTATAACTAATTAAACTCTTTTGTAGAGATAGAGATAATCAAACATGCCCTTTGGTATTCCTTGAATCAAAAATTAAAAAGATAAACATAACATGATTGACAAGATATATAGATTGAATCGCCTAATCAAGAAGTCAGATGTAGATTTAGAATTTAAATTTAATGTGATCTCGTTCTAGACTTTAACACAACTCATTTGATTTATTGAGTTCGAAATTAATTATATGTACTTATTTATAAAATTAAAAATTACACACATATATATAAAGAGAGATAAAATTATTGATTTCGTATGAACTCATAACTTACCTACTTATCCGCTCCGGCAAAAATTAACCCCACAAAAATGGTGGAAAAACATACAAAGTCTATATAGGAGGCAACAACAACAATATACCCAGTATTATCCCACATCGTGGGGTGTGGGGAGGGTAGTGTATACACAGACTTTACCCCTACCTTGTTAGGATAGAGAGACTATTTCCAATAGACCCTCGGCTCAGGAAAGCATAAGTACTAGGTAAGGGCAAGGTATGCGTATCCTCCCCGTGGGGTCTGGATTTCCTTCTTAATTAATGTGGTGCTTATGCTTTCCTGAGTCAGGGATCTATTGGAAACAACCTTTCTATACTCACAAGGTAAGGACAAGGTCTGCGTATACACTACCATCCCCAGACCCTACAGTGTGGGATAATACTAGGTATATTGTTGTTGCCTCCTATATAGACTTTGTATGTTTTTCCACCATTTCTGTGGGGTTAGGAGGATTAGAATGAATTACCTTTGGTGCCATTCTTTGATCCAAGGGATTAGACTCATCTGCCATTTTCTCAATCCTCTCACCTTTTCAATGAAGTAGAGCATTTTATAATTGTATGAAGAAGGAAATCCAGGAGTAAGGTTTATATAGGAAAATATTTGATATAAATTCTGAATAGCTTTAAATGCCTGGATTTTTGTAATAAGATTTTCTTCATTTGTCATGACTCTTGTTATCCCTTCCTCTTTGCAATAAATTTTTGCAATCCAACCTAAGCAATTTGACTAGTAGTATTAATTACAAGTTTAATCCGGTCATGATCTCGTTTAATTTATAAACACGTAGAATCTCCTCTCCAACTAAGATCACTCGATCGATTTCATAGACCTAAATATTAATGTAAAAAGTGTTAATTCGATTATCTAATAGACTTGTTAGTTTTACAGCTCTATAATCAAATAAATAAAGATAGGTCGAAGGTTTATTTATATATGGTTCATTTTCTTCTTATGTTTCCTTTTTATTTGTTTATACCTTCTTATGCTTTCGAAATATTATTTTTAAATGTGTTAAAATAAGAGTTATCTTATACTGTGCATTTTACTTTTTTCTTTTACGGATTAATATCAATCAACTTTTACTTTATTGCAATCAAATTCAACAAAATATTTTACTTAAAAAGTAATTGAACTAAATAATGTCACAAAAATAATATTTCTTAACAAAGAAGCCGTTCAACTTTGTATAAGTATCACAGAAAATCACTAAGTAATATTTAACTAAAAGGTCACTCAACTTACCCCAAGTATCATAGAAAATCTATCTATACTATATTACAAGCATGAAGGCCTTAGCGAAATATCGTTCGCCTTTTTTACCCTTTTAAAATAGAACTTATATTAAACAAAATCGTCATTTACCTATTTTCCTATTATTTAGGAGTTTGAACTAAATAAAATTTGACTACTAAGTTTTTCCTTATTTGGGTATAAAAACATCCTAATATTTAAAGTAAAATAGAATTTAACTTATATAAATATATTCCTTATTTGAATTTAGGTAAAACAACTATTGACTTGTCATTGTAAGTATGTTTCTTCCTAAAAAGCTAACTCTCTCACGTAGCATTATATATACTTATTTTCTTTATAAATATGATCATAGGTTTCAACACAAGCTAATCTAATTAAAACTTAAAAATTCAAACAATGCAGCAATTTTATTACGTGTGTCACATAAGCACATCATGTCAAGCAATATGAGACGTAAATGAGAATAATCAGTGGAAATAGCAATTGATATTTAACTAAATGCAATATCTGTTTAAATGATTAAAATAAATGTTTACTATATATTAATTTTGAATATTTTGACAGTATAAAATAACCCTTCAAGTTCTAGAATAACACTAACAAAATAAGAAATAAAATTTAAGGTACCTAATAACCTAAAAACTTATGGGGTAATTTATATGTAGTCAATTATTATCACAAAGTTAAAAGTTTCGATACTCTTTAAAAAACTAATTACTCCTTCAATAAATTAAACTATGTTAACCAGTTATATTAAAATGTAAATTTTATCTCATATTTAAAAGGTTATATTCAACTTATTAAGTGTTATTATAATTTAAGTAAAATGTGATTTAAGGATCTATATTTGCATTAATTTTTTTTCATAGACGGGTATAATATATCTATTTGTCAATATATGTATATATACACTCTATTATAAAAGCACAAAATTCTAATACAAAATGTTGATAGATTTTCTTACCCTTCATAATGCTTTTCATGTCAGATAAATCATAATTACAATTAATAATTAATTTAAGGCATAACTAAAATTTAGGATTTTGACGACTTTAACATGATAGAGCATTTTCCTTCATTGAATTAGTTAAATAAAATCAATATTCATCAGCTTCATAGTTTTAAAGTTTTTTCATTAACTTTTATTATATAACTCAAATGTGAAATTTAAATAATGTTATGTGATTTTTTTGAAATCTCGTATTCCTTGAGTCCAGGTTCACGCGCAACGCGCGTATCCTGAGACTAGTACTTAAATAAAGTTTAGTGATTACAAAAAATAGGTTAATGACTTTAATATAATAATATAAAAATTAAATGGATATCCGTGAAATTAACCGCCCTATAAATAATAACAATTATATCGTATTTTCCCTCCAAACTCATATAAAATGTCCCCAGTAAACTTGCCATTCGAAGGATTCTAAGCAGTTAGAAAAGGTATTCAAGACAATGTTTCTATTGTATTACACCTTACAAAACTAATTCACTGTTAAATAATAAAGTAAAATAAATTATAGAATTAATAGAAAAAAGAGTTCACATTAAAACCCGTATTTAGTAAGCACTCTTGCTTTGGATGGACTATTGTAGTCCTATGTCCTGAAATTGGTGGATTTTCCAGAAAATGCATCTGAAGTGGCTTGGGCTGAGCTATCTGAAAAATAAGTAAAAATTGTTTTTTATCCAGCATTTTTAATGCTTAGCAATAGTAGCCATTAAAATTAATGTGAAAAGACTGTGTTACCCTTTCTTCTATCTCTTTCGTGTTAGGGAAAATCTCTTAGTTATGACAACTTCATCCTGATGTACGCAAACAGCTTGAATAATGACACCAACTTCAATGCTCGTTTGCCTTTACACCTTTAAATAGCATCACTAATCCCACTGTGAATCTGTACGATTTGAGAGAAAAAGAGAAACAAAAGGAAAAAAACAAAAGTTAAGGACAATAGGTCATGAAGTCCTGAACTTAGACTAACAAGCTCAAAAGTTAAGGTCAATAGGTCATGAACTTACAGTTACAAGCTCAAAAGTTAAGGACACTTGGTCCTGAAGTCCTGAACTTAGAGTTACAAGTTCAAAAGTTAAGGACATGTAGTCCTGAAGTTAAGTTCAAAAGTTAAGGACATGAGTAGAAGGGTATTTTCGTCAGGGCAATTAAAGTTTATTAAAGTAGTGGCTAAAGACTAAAGACATTTTAAACAGTGGCTTAAAAGTAAATACATGTGTTATTAGTGGCTAACCGTGCACTTCCCCCGAAAAATAACTTGGATCTTATCCGGCTTGGGCTGGACTAGCAAAAAAGAAGAATTAACCCAAATAGTCGTCCACCCTACCATTTAAACTAAAAATAGCCAGTGAATGCATAATTTATGTATTACATATGTATAATTATGTATAATCTATGTATATAGCTAAAAAAATTAAACAACAAATATGGCCGGCTATTCTTGTAAAGATCCCAGCAAAACATTATAGGCAAGTTATACTTTTGGATGGTCGAAAAAATAATTACATTCGCTAACCAAATATACAAAAAAATATACATTGATTATGTATAAATTAAATATATTATATATTAATATACAAAAATATGTATTTTTCCGGCTATTATATTTTTAGGAGCGGCTATATAGTGTAATTTTCCCAAAAGATTAAGTGCTGAAAAATATATATGTTGAGAGTGGGATTTGAACCCACGCCCTTTCGGACCAGAACCTTAATCTGGCGCCTTAGACCAACTCGGCCATCTCAACTTGACGCTAACTATTGCAATATTTAATATCATATAACGTTTTAATCTCTCGTGGTCTCCCTGTTTAAAATTACCTTGCTTTTATAAATAATACATAGATGGAACTAACTATATACTAACAATTAACACAGAACTTGTATGTTAATTGTTTCATTGACTTATTTTGGGTCAGTCTGTTGGAATTTAAGACTTGTAGTAATAACATATTTTTTTCTCTGAATTATCCATTCTTTCTGTTAGAACTTACACAGATATTGCTTTAAGAGGCTTATATACTGTTATGCAAAAGAGTGGTAAAACTCACTAGTGTCCATTTCAACAAAAGCAATAGTAAATGAAGCCACAAACTGGAAACCCAATTATCATTATCTTCTAATCATCGAGACAGTACAAGCAATTGAAAAGGAAAAGCTGATTAGCTAGTCAGCATTCAGCAAATCAAGATTTACTAATTTTAGAACAAAAACTACATTTACAGATATACAAGCTCCGAGCTGCTTGCTATAGCAGCCAAAAAAAATAAAATAAACAAACAAATAGAACCCCAAACAGAACTACAATGTCGCACGATGGTTAGTAACATCAATCAATCCTCTCCCCTCAATTGAGAGAACCTGATGAGGAAAAACTTCCAGGAGAAATGCGAAAAGATGTAATGCCTAAAGCCAAACAAAGACGTACAAACTGCTAGGCCTGGGTTAAGGTGGCCAACAAATGGTCTTTCATCATGTGCATGGTAGCTATTTGACAAATGGAAACATGCTGAACACTTTCAGAAGCCAGTGAAACATCTGCATTATATGCAGGATCCCATAGATCTTCCTCGCTATAACTGGATGCAGGTGATGAAAGAGCACTACAAATTTCAAACTGCAAATCAGTAAGTGTAATTGTGACGAAGCTAAAAAAGATTTCCTCTTGTAATTGGGCGTAGCTGACTATAGAACTCAGTGAAGTTGAGCCTAAACATGAGAAACTTCAAATCAATGTGCTGCTGCACAGGCAACTGTGAAATGAACCCCTCAAAGATGGTTGCATAATCCTTTCCGATCGCATCTATATCATTTCCCATATTTCTGAGGAATTCTCCAGCACGTTGAGTGAAGGCCTTTCGGCCTTCACCAAGCCATGACCCTGGTTCTGACGATTTATCATTTGATTTTCCCCGTGATTTGACTTTATCACGAGAATTAGTTGATGATTCTGCAGTCCTGTAATTTATGAGGAGAAACAAGCTGTTAGAAACATTAAAAATAACTAGAAACTCAAAATCCAAATTTAATATAGAGATGAAGGGAAAAGATACCTTGATTGCAGCTCATTAATGCCTTCATAGAGTCGATCTGCATGACTACGGAAGCGCAATATTAGGTCAAATAAAACAAAGAGTGTCTTGTTAAGATCCTGAGAACGTTCTCCAAGCAAAGACTTCTCTAAAATTGAAAATAAATACTTTTCATGCGCAGCAAGAAGATCATCAAGGTCTTTAGCTAATTCCATTTCTTTCACAAAATTAGACCATGAGACCTCCAAAACTTCAAACATGATGTAGTACTGCAAATTAGAAACAAAATGATTCATCTCATCCCAAAGAACTTGACACTTTCTTGATGTCAAAATCAACTGGAACTTAACAGCTTGGGGCAACTTGGAGAAGAAATGGGAAGTGATACAATTTGGTTTCATGGTTTTCCAAGCACCAGTTAGTGCATGTTCTACTCTTCTGAGTTTCCACAAGAAATTGAAGACTCTTATATATCTTGTCATTACAGACTCTGTAAAAATTGTATTTAAAGGAACACCTGCATCGTATTCCAAAGAAAATACATCCCACCCTCTATCTCCAGTGTTATGTGGCATCATCTTAACCCTTAATCTAGACCGTATATCACAGCCATCATACTGCGCGTTAGACGATGTGACAGCACTCTCCAACAAGGTTGCCAGCTTAAATGAGCTGATAGTATTAGCCGGCTCAGAAAGCTCAGGACCAACAATATCCATTAGATATTGTACAAAATCACCTTGACCGAGAAGCAAATAGCGCTTAATGGCAAGACAATGTTCCTTGAACATGTATCTTTTGTGCATGAGTTCAAGTAAATGCTTATCGATTCTTTTTGCAGCTTCTGTAACCAAAGATTCAAGTGCATCAGTTTCACCATATCCAAGACTTCCTCTCGTGGTTGTAGTTCCAACAGCTGTTGCTGCTTCTGTTGCAGCATCAGCCCAACCTCGATCATCACAACAAACTCTGAGAAAGTTGATTGACTTGCCAGTCCTTAAAATCTGTTTAGCAAGAGATTGAGAAATAAAAGCAGGAAGCATGTGAGCATGAAGGCGGTAACCTTCTCTCCAAAGGGACTCGTCTTTGACAGTTTGACTCACAATGAAAAACTCAGCAAATATATCTTCAAGCTCTCCTTCAAGTACCCATCTCCTCACCATCTCAAAAAGAGGCGAACACACCCGACGCAGTAGCCTTTTCATGAAATCATTGACGAGTGGATCACCATGCTGAGCATGCATGTGAATTGCTCCAGCCATTGCCCCACCCTTCAAGCTCTTACAGTTATCAACTAAAACAGCCATCAATCTCATCTTCACAATCGGCTCAGCGAACCAAACCGACAGTCTTCTTAGAGACATATAATTCCCTGAACATCCACCCCCCGAACCCAACGGTATCGGATTCATCGCCTGCCCTTCGAGCACTGCCAACAATTTATAGTACTCCGAAAGCTCATCCTGCAATGCAGCACAAAACGCTTGTCCAACGGTGCCTACATCTTGAGCAGGGAACTGATCCATACTCTCGGAGATATACCCTTTAACTTTCCTAAACAACCAGCCAAGCTCACAAAGCTTCCTAACTACACTCCTAGTAGCCCTTGGAACCTTCATCCAATCAGGCAACACATAGCCATCAGCATTCTTATCATACCTCACATACTTTCCATCATCCCTTGACAAGCATACAACACATCCCTCACCAAAACCTCCTCGGACACCTCATTCTCTTCCTTCGACAAATCCACAAATTCCTTATACGCCATGTCTCGCAAGTTCTCCGGATCCTTATAAACCATCAAAACCCCTCCACTCCATCCCTTCCCTACATCACCTCTACCCCTCAAACTCCTCGAATTATCCCCTAAACAATTCAAATTCTTAAATTTATTACTCAAACTACCATCACCATAACTCTTCTCCATTTTCCCCAATTCACCCTTCAAATTATTCAAATTATGATTCGATTCACTTCCAACCAATTCAGGTAACCCACCTGACAATGCGGAGCTTAAAAACCCGCTAGAAGCTACACTATTGGACTGATGTTTTTGAATTTTACGATCTTCAGAGACAGTTTTAAGCAAATATAAAACAGCCCATTTGTTTTTCACACTTCCAGGTCCCGTTTTCGACGAGAATTTGGAATAAACATCGGCAAAAGTGAGGGCATCAGAGGATTTACCTTGAGTAGCTAACCGTCGCTTAATGGATTCAGCCATTGCGGAATCGTCGGCAGCAATTGAAGGTGTCATTCGACTGGAGAGTATGCGAATAGCGTATCTTAAAGCTTGATGGAACTGTTGATCTGAAGGGAGGTTAGGGTTAGGGTTTAAGGAGTTGGGGGTGGGGGGAGGTGGAGAAGTGGAGAGTAAGCGGTGGACTAGTTCTTTGACTAGATCTAGGGCTCTTTTGTCGCCGTCGTCCATGGCGGATGTACGGTGGCCGGCGGCGGAGGTAGTGGAGTGAGGAGAAGTTGGTGAATATGAGTAAAGTGACTGTTTTTTGGGGGTTCTTTTTGATTTTTTTGATTTTGATTTAATATGGGCGCGGAAATGCAATTTCCTTTTCTTCTTTTATTGCCTTTTTTTTGTGAAATAGATTAGTTTTTCTAAAAGTCGTCGCTATATTGGAAAAGAAAAAGGAAAATTTTGAGAAACATGTGATTTGGTCTATTGAATGGGATAAGAACCAATTTTTATCTTAAAGTTAATAAAATTTTAAGTTATGTATATATCAGTATAAATTATTTTATACTATTAGACTAACTTTATCTGTTGTAGCAAATTGCTTGTTCGTTTAGAAATTTCTCAAAAAGTTAACTATAGATTTTTCTCTCCATCGAAACAATGGGGTCGTTATGCTCATTACTAGACTTATTGAAAAGATGAAATATATGCAAGATATATATCTTTTTTATCAAAGATTGAATCGATCATCAAAAGAAGAACTAGACCAAAAATCTATAGTTATACTGGATTGTTGTTGTTGTCCCTTGCTGGTTGTGGTTTCTGTTCTATGAACATGCTTTACCCCTCATGTTCAATGTAATGTTTTCATATTAGTTTTGAATCTGGCGTTATTTTATTTAATTTTGTGGTGGTGAAATTATAGGTAAAGAAGAATAATCATTCCTGTTACCCCATTGAAAAGGAAGATAATGAACAAAAAAGTAAAGAAGTTTAAGAGACATCAGAGTAACAGAAAAATATCTGATTATCAAGGTATTATTTAGTCTTTTTAGCAATCATATTTTCATTTAAGCTCCATTTGTAACTTTTTGTTCAGCTAATCATAAAATCTCATGAAAGAAGAATGCAAGTGCCATCGACATCATCTTCTTAATGAATTTTATAGTACCATTCTCTTTTTAATTATTTTTTATTTTCTGTTTATTTTAAAGTTTACAACATTGAATTAAATGAATTGCTTTCATATATTGCTTGGAAGGTTGGTTTTACATAGATTCTTGATGTAAAAGAATTTTATATATAGAATGTTAAAACAACCAGTAAAAATTTCTCATTACTAAAGATTAATTCTCTTCTTATAAAATTATGAGATTAATATTTAAACGTATTTTAAATTTTTTCATTACTGCGTGAAGTGCGGTAAGTACACTAGTTAGAATATAATATGGAAAATCAAGCTTACACGAAAAGAAGCAAACAAACGGTTTTCATAAAAATTCTCGTAGAATCGAGAATGAAGTTTTCATTCTATACCAAAGTATCCATCTTCTTCCACCCTGGTGGGCCTATAAGAACCAACTCCTTCACTCTATCAAGTTTTCCCTCTCTGCAGAAAGCATCAGCAATAATTGAAGATGTCTATTGATAAATGATGAAAAATACATATTTTTTAGTATGTTTATATATTATTTCATATGTGAGTTATGGGAGATCACAAGGTTGAAGTGAAAATATGCTAATTACGTGTTTCTTATGTGTAAGAATAAACTTGCGCGGAAAAGGATCAAATAGGAGAAAAATGAAGTCACAAAACAGCGAAGCGAAGGCAAGAATCGCTTCGGGAACTGGAAAATTATAAAAGTTGAGTCCGAGACGCGCGCTGCACGAAAGTTGACGCGCCCTCCAGCTCTCCTATCCGAAGTTGGATTGAAAACTTCCGCCCCTCATCAACCCTAGGTCATATAAATACATATTAAAACACCACTTTGAAGGGGGGGGGGGGAGACATTACTTAAGGATAAGACAACACCCAAGGAAGCAAGAATACGATAGGAGCAAGGAGGAAGATTTAACCACAAGTTTTTCCTTCCTCTTCCTATTTTTCATTGTTGGTTATGGCTTTTAGTATCGTAGTTTTACATACCATTATGAGTAGCTAATTTATTATCTAGAGTTTTGATGGGACCGTTTGGAGGATAAATTCTTGTTACGTTTTAATATAATTTTGCCTTTGCATAGACCTACTTGTTCAACTAGGTGCTTATTTTAGTTAATTGAAGAACTCTCAATTGACTGTGCCTATTTATTATGTATTGCTTGAGAAAGAGTGCATATTTAGATTGTTGTTGAATAACGTCACTACCAAGTTATATGAGAGATCAATAAGGCGGGTTTAAAAGCGGGATCAGAGATAACGAAACTTTGACGTGATCATAGTGAGCGGTAAAAAAGTGCGAGCTAGCGTAATTCGAGAGAATATGGCTAGTACATTATTGTAGTTGCTCGAGAGAGGATTACGATAAGTCAAGTGTTCATGATCAGTAGAGAATACTTAGGCAAAATTGTAGGAAACATAGCGGAAAGTATTCCGATAATTGAGGAAATCATAACTCTAGACCTCCTTAATTTAGTCTCCAACCCTTAGTATCTTTAGTTGCTAATTTACTATTTTAATTTGTTAGTTTGCTAGTTAGATAGAAGAATCTTAATATTTACAACTTAGGAATTGTTCGAGCTTTCCTTATTGGTGACATTGAACAGTTATAGCAAAACCTTAGTTCTCTGTGGGATTCGACTCTGGACTTTTAGATCGGATTATATTTGCATCGACCGCTTATCCTTTTTAGGACTAGATTAAGTCTAGAACACTGCCAGTGCTTATATTAAGTCTAGAACACTGCCAGTGCTTATATTATCCGTAATCAACCCTTTTGGGCATGTAAACCTTTTCTTTGGCAACCACATTACAAGCTGAACTCCCTTTGTTCTTAATCAAATCTTGTTGAACCTTTACCTTCGAAAGCACTTCAGTAGTTAGAAGAGCAAATAATTTTGAGTGGAACCATAGAAAGGCCGAAAAAGTGCACTAGTGTATTAAAAAAAATACTAGCTAGAAAATACCAAATTAAGGAGAGTCAAAGAAAAAAAATGAATAATACCTCTATATCTTTGTCTATGGTAGTAAATATCTATATGTTGATGTACTTAATTACGAAGGGCGTAAATGTACATGGTTTCATGGCAAGATATCGAATTGGCCATGACAAGAAGGTATGTTGTTAAATAAAGTGTAGTGTATTAAAGTGATTAGGAGGTTTAGTCACTATTTTCTCAAATATATCTTACCCGTCCCTTAGCCTACATTACAACCTATAAAGTCCTACTTAATCCTAGACTTTACGAGCTTAAATTAGTAGAGACTTACACTACGGACAAGCATATGGTACTAACTTGGGTGGCATAAAAGTTTCTTTGTGAGAGTGAGCGAATTCTTTCTATATTTAAGTCCTTAAACTGTACTTGAACTTATATTGAGTGTGTGGACTATTTTCTCTCTGTGGTTTGTTGGTGAAGGCACATGATTTGCAAAGGAATGGTAGAGACCTTGATTTTTGAGTTGGCACAAGGAGAGAGCAATAGTGTGGAATGTATAGAGTCAAGTTTTGAGGCGAGGATGTTAGAAAAGTCACATGAATATTTTAGATAATTGGCACGAGTTTAAAACTTAAGGAAATGTATGAAAAGTGCATATGCTGGGTTCTAAGAGTTGATATAAACCATTGTCATTGGTGTGATGCTTGGGTATGTTTTGAAAGGTATCTTGCCTATGCGCTTAATTTTAAGTTGCTCGAGGACGAGCAAGAGTTTAAGTATGGGGTGGTGATAAATGATGAAAAATACATATTTTTGAGTATGTTTATATATTATTTCATATGTGAGTTATGGGAGATTACATGGTTTTGAAGTGAAAATATGCTCATTACGTATTTCTTATGTGTAGGAATAAACTTGCACGGAAAATGATCAAATAAGAGAAAAATAAAGGCACAAAACAGCGAAGCGAAACGAAGGCACGAATTGCTTCGCGAACTAGAAAATTACAAAAGCTGAGTCTGCGTCCAGGTTTGCTCGTTGCACGAAAGTTAACATGCCCTCCAGCTCTCCTATCCGAAGTTGGATTAAAAACTTCCGCCCCTCATCAACCCTATGTCATATAAATACATCCTAAAACACCACTTAGAAGGGGGGATACACTACTTTAGAGTAAGACAACACCCAAGGAGGCAAGAATACGCTAGTAGCAAGAAGGAAGATTTAACAACAAATTTTTCCTTCCTCTTCCTATTTTTTATTGTTGGTTATGACTTTTTGTATTATAGTTTTACATACCATTATTAGTAGCTAATTTATTATCTAGAGTTTTAATGGAACCGTTTGGAGGATGAATTCTTGTTACGTTTTAATATAATTTTGCCTTTGCATATACCTACTTGTTCAACTACGTGCTTATTTAGTTAATTGAAGAGCTCTCAATTGACTGTGCCTATTTACTATGTATTGCTTGAGAAAGAGTGCATATTTAGGTTGTTGGTGAATAACGTCACTCCCAAGGTATATGAGAGATCAATACGGAGGGTTTAAAAGCGGGATTAGAGATAGCGAAGCTTTAAAGTGATCATAGTGAGCGATAAAAAAGTGTGAGCTAGTGTAATTCGAGAGAATATGACTAATACATTATTGTAGTTACTCGAGAGAGAGTTACGGTACGCCGAGTGCTAATGATTAGTAGATAATACTTAGGCAAAATTGTAGGAAACATAGCGGGAAGTATTCCGACAATTGAAAAAATCATAACTCTAGACCTCCTTAATTTAGTCTCCAACCCTTAGTATCTTTAGTTGCTAATTTACTATTTTAATTTGTTAGTGTGCTAGTTAGATAGAAGAATCTTAATATTTATAATTTAGGAATTGTTCGAGCTTGCCTTATTGGTGACATTGAACAATTATAGCAAAATCTTAGTTCTCTATGGGATTCGATTCCGGACTTTTAGACCGGATTATATTTGCAGCGACCACTTATCCTTTTTAGGACTAAAGTTGGGTGTGATCATCTATAGAGATAGATTGTGAGTTTGAGGTTGCCCAAAAATTTTGTAAGTCCATAAAAAACTGTCTAATGATCAATATTTATTGATTCACCATGACTTTCAGGTTTATTTTATGATATTTCGTGGTCATTCAATAAGAAGATGTAATTATATCCATATGTTCATGCATATTAGTACATGCTAATATTGCAAAATATTTTGGACGGACTCGTATTAACCTAAAATATTGTAGGTTCGTAGAAGCGGACTAGTGA